AAGCATAGTTCAATCTAATAATAGCGGAGAAAAGAAGAGAGGCAAAGAATGCGTATTTGTGTTTGAGTATTTAAGTAGACCATTTGAATCTGTTCTATTGTTCAGATACTTCTTTTCTGCAACACGATAACCAGATTCAAACAACTAATGCTGTATAGTTGTTATATGCCAATCAATCTTCTTACATCTAGGACAATCTAATGTAACCAACAAACAAACTTAGCTAACAATTAAGTGAGAAACTGGAAAGAATGCTGCCGTAATTCAAAGATCATCAGTTATAATCTTCAAGCTACTTGTTCCGTCGTCGTAAATTTAGCAAATTTATGACTGTTTCTTCATTTTTTTTTTCTTTTCTTGATACCAACCCTCATAAAGACAAAATCAGTAGACAGTATTAAAAAACAGACTGGTAACAGTTTTTGATCTAAGACCTTAAAACAACGCAATATAATCAAAAAATACATTTCAAAAAAGAAGCGTTTAAAACAGTTTTTTACGTAAAAAAGAAAGAACTTATTGTCCTAAGTACCGGTTAATCTGAACGTAAACTTTTGAACCTAATCAGATGTCTTTTAAGTTTAAAAAAATTTGCTGTTTTTTTTCGTCATCAGTCCTAAGCAAGACAAATACATGAAACTGCGGTAAAATAATGACGTCAATTGACCTAAAAGTACTCTCGAGTCATCAAAAGATCAGTGAACGTCAACTGCTTTATTCAAAGTTTTATTACTCCTTTATGTCTGAAGAAACTTCTAGGTTTTTCATAGGTCAGTGCTGGTCATAATATTTTGATCTATCCACCCTCGTTTCCACTTTTTTCTTCAAAGCCGTAAATGTTTATTAACACACATCTGCTCTCTAAGTTTTGTTATCACTTGTAGACGTTGAAAAAAGAAACTTTTCAACCACTATTTGTCCGTTCGATAATCTGAATATCAATTGGCCATTAAAACTCCGCACAGCCAGATGAATATTTTGCACAAAAAACAAAAGCACTTGTCAGATACGAGTGAAAAATTAGAAAAACCATGCAACCACAGTTTTTGCAACCAAGAAGATCCTAATGAACCTAAAGAAAGGCCGTCTAACAACGTAAGGTTTAGAAGTCGGTGCTTATGTTCAGAGCGAAAAGTTATCTAGATTTTAAACACTATAAAAGTTAGATAGTTAGAATATAGTTGTCAACGAATCAAACAAAAAATAAACCCTTTTTTTTGTAACAAAGATAAATTCAACCCACAAATAATACTCCTTTTCTTTTTTTATAGTGTTCAATCAACGGTAACTTTACGAACAATCAGTCGCACTCGTATGATAACGATATGAGAAGGAATGAAGCTGCAGTAAAAATACAGGTATTACAACCTATTATCATTCAGTCTAACTTTGTCACAAACAGAAAAAAAGCTAAAAAATCCTTATATCTAAACTGTATGTTCTAAATGATTTTTATAACAAAACATCAAGGAAAAAAAAAAGAAAACTGTAACTAGTTGCACGATAATGCGCTGTCAACAATGAATCCTAAAAAAAAAGATTCCTAAATGAGCAGTGGCCAATGATGCGCAAAACGAGAAAATTTTTTTTCCTATTTAAAACAAATCACACTACGATCAGTTCAAAAATTTTGATCAAATAATCAACAGTATTACGCGTATTGACTGACTATAGAAATACAGCAAACCTTTATCCTAATTATAAACTACTACTCGACTAATTAAAGACGCTTCTAAAGTGAATGGGTTTGGACAAAACGATAAGCTAGGTGACGTTTTTTGTACTATGGCCGTGACCGAGTTTGCAGTCATCGAACCTCTTCTGACTGATTCGACAGTTGCGGTACATTATCAGCAACCAGTTTTTTCCATCTTTGTATGACAGCTGTAAAAAAATTCCATAGTTTTGCACATCTGCAACGGTTGATCACCAAAAAACAATCATTTGACAAACTTTCTATTATAAAACTGGTCGTTTTTTCCCATCAGATCTCTTTCGCTACTTGAAGTCTAAGGTTTTTGTAACGTTTATACTGTAAGTCTCAACAATAGCTAAGTAAACAATAAGATAAGAGAAAAATTTTTCCAGCCAAAAAAAATAAATTCAATAACTATTTTTCAGCGTGCTTATCGTAAGCATTTGGCAAAAAAACATCCCAATTCAGAGAAAATGGAAGACGATAAACGTAACAAAGCTGCAAATACGATTCAAGTAAGCATTTGACTCCAAAAAAACTGCACTTTAAGTCTTTCACCGTTGACCTGCTTTCTTTTTATTTTAATTTTTACCCCATCTCTACACTAGATTAACTGTATAAAATGTTAACTGAACAGAACCAGTTATAGCGTTACTATAGAGGATACCGCGATCGCCAACAAGTAAAAGAACTTCGCGAACAGCAAAGACACTCCAAAGCTGCTGTAATTATTCAAGTAAGCAATAAAAGTTCAACTAACCAATAATAACTTATAGGCTGCAATCAAGCTACTTTACCAAAACAATGTTTTTTGTTGCGTAAACCCAACTGTGGGTACTGCAAAACAACTTACTCTTGACGGATATCATTAACTGCTATAAAAGACTACATTGCAGAGCCAAGTCAGAGGATATCTGGCAAGACGTCAATTTGAACAGCTTCGAAAGAATTCAAAAGACGAAGTAGTATCACGGCTTTAAAGGAACTTCAACCCAGTTTTCTATCCCATAATTACGCAAATTCTGTACACCCGTTACCGCCCACCGTTGAATCCTCCGTATAATTGATTTTTACGTACATAATTTAACAAATGCCTGACTCAAAACTGGTTGTACCTTACTGCCCAGCTAGCATCACTAAAGAATTCTGCAAATATGTTATAATAAAAAATGTTACTTTAGTATCCTTCCCATCATACTCAAGAAATCCCTCTATCTTTCACAAAACTTGTGATTCCAATCCCGTCTTTTAGCCAAAGGCTGGCAGAAGCATGTCTCAGCAAAGATTTTTTACGTTAAAATGCAAAGGTATTTAATGTATTTTGTGAACACCTGCAACAGGAGGCTAATTTTAATACCAATACAATACTGCATATGGTGTGGCAGAAATATGCATGCAAAAGCAACAAAAAAAGACAATTTGAAAAAAACTGCCCGTTTAGTAGAAGAACCAGTCAAAAACTTACTTCCCACGCTAAATCCACGTATCCACAGAGCTTCCAAGTAAGCTGGCAGGTTTGAACCGTTATTGAACGAAATGCATTCTTTCAAAAAGATCCGCCCTTGAGATCTCAATTAATCAAGAGGAAAATGTTAGATTGAAGCTCCAAGCAGAAATAAAGGTGAGAAAAAACTGAAGACGGATAAAACAACAAAAGCATTTGGTAGAAAGAAACCGCCTTAAAAACAAAAAAATAAAAAAAAAACTGCGTAAGGCAAAGAGTTTAATACTTCCTCCTATTCCCCAACAAAACAGATGTTTCAAAATGATAAACAAAAAATAAAAAGGTAAACAAAGTACAGAACTGTTCATGCCGCTTGAAACTTTAAGATCTGCCATGAAATGTACCAACTACGAATAGACAGTTTTGCTGATTCCATAAAAGTCTATTTACATATATACATCATTTAACCCTTCAATAATAAGTGATTCTTAAACACAAAAAAAACATAAAATTCACCAATCAGTTCTAGCCAAGCAAATCAGGACGAATAATAAGAATAATTTCAACTTTCTAAACATTTCTCATAAGAAAAAAAAAA